AGGGTTTTCCTTCCCACCGCCAACATTCAGAATGCTGTTCTGAATGTTGGCGGTGGGGAGGAAAAACCCTCCTCCCACTGCAAGCCCCGGGAACAGAGGAGAAGCGCTGCGCGCCTTCCCCTCTGTTCCCGTACCTGTCCTGAAGGCTTGCGGTGGGGAGAAAAGCCCTTCTCCGCACCGCCAGCCTGGCAAGCGGTCTCCATAAAAGGTAAAGGTACCCCTGCCCGTACGGGCCAGTCTTGCCAGACTCTGGGGTTGTGCGCCCATCTCACTCAAGAGGCCAGGGGCCAGCGCTGTCCGAAGACACTTCCGGGTCACGTGGCCAGCGTGACAAAGCTGCATCTGGCGAGCCAGCGCAGCACACGGAACGCCGTTTACCTTCCCGCCAGTAAGCGGTCCCTATTTATCTACTTGCACCCGGGGGTGCTTTCGAACTGCTAGGTTGGCAGGCGCTGGGACCGAGCAACGGGAGCGCACCCCGCCGCGGGGATTCGAACCGCCGACCTTTCGATCGGCAAGCCCTAGGCGCTGAGGCTTTTACCCACAGCGCCACCCGCGTCCCCCAAGCGGTCTCCATAGGAACGCATTAATTGATTTTCAATGCATTCCTATGGGAAACCGTGCTTCGCAAGACAAAAAACTCGCAAGAAGAAAAAACTTGCGGAACGAATTAATTTCGTCTTGCGAGGCACCACTGTATAGATTGCTGATGGAGAAACTTCGCACAAAGGAGGAATCTTTCACAAACAACAAGCATGCAACAGCCCAAAAAAAGAAATAAAGCACAGATGAGTAATGTATCTCTTCCTGGAACCCTGACAGAGGGCACAACACTGGGAACATTTCCTGTATGGGATCGTTGTTTTTCATTGGCTCCCAGTACGTTTCCGAGCACAATTCAAAGTGTTGGTGCTGACCTTTAAAGCCCTAAACGGCCTTGGCCAAGTATAGCTGAAGGAGCGTCTCCACCCCCATCATCCAGCCCGGACACTGAGGTCCAGCGCTGAAGGCCTTCTGGCGGTTCCCTCGCTGCAAGAAGTGAGGTTACAGGGAACTAGGCAGAGGGCCTTCTCGGTAGTGGCGCCTGCCCTGTGGAACACCCTACCACCAGATGTCAAGGAAATAAACAACTATTTTACTTTTAAAAGACAACTGAAGGCAACCCTGTTTAGGGAAGTTTTTAATGTCTGGCGCTGTATTGTTTTTAATATTCAGTTGGAAGCCGCCCAGAGTGGCTGGGGAAACCCAGACAGATGGGTGGGGTATAAATAATAAATTTTTTGTTGTTGTTGTTGTTGTTGTTGTTGTTGTTGTTGTTGTTGTTGTTATTATTATTCTACATACAATAAAGGTCCAGTTTTACAAAAGCAACTGCCCAGGATGTACAGGCTCCTGGCACAGAAAAGCACTCATGAATGTTACGATATGGGACACTTTCCCCTTCCTAGTGGCAGGAATTGTAGAAAATGCTGTACAGTAAAAAAGAAAAAAGAAAAGTAATGCAGAAAGTCTCCTTCAGAATAAGGTTCTGCTTGATATTCTAATATAACAAGGCCCCCTACAAACTGTATAAATCCATTCAGGCACTCTTCTTAAAAATATAACCAAGAAATGCATACTGAGTGCGACTACATGACTTTTAACTTCTTTTTTTGCAGGAAATCAAAATTTAAACAACCTTCCCCTCCATTTCCCTTTTTGAGCCACAGAAGACATCACCCTGCACTAGTATGAACACAGAGGCAAGAAGAAATTGACTGAATAAGTGACTTCTTCTCATAAACATGATTATTTTCTTATAGGTCAACATCCTGAGCCTTCGTGTTCAAGAAGTCACAAATGAGAAGAAAAAAATTATAGCCTTCCTATTTGTTTTTGGACTTCAAATATAAAATCAAGCGTTTATCCAGGAACTGAATATTTCTGAAGATTGAGAGCCACTTACACGAAGATGCGAAGAGTGCCTGCTTCGTAATGATTTAGCTTTTCAAAATCAGTAAATCAGTGCACATAAGGATACTGCAGTCTCTCGTGCCCCTTTAAGATGGTTTTCAAAGGGCATTATCCTGATTTTTTGTTATTAGCAATGGGAGTGTCACCCTGATGCAATTATTGCTAATACTTGAGAGCTGTTCCAATGCATAATTAGAACATTTACAATCTACTACAATAGCATAATCAATCATGCCAGTGTAGACTATATCGGTGCCTTAGACCAGCCTTCCCCAAGCTGGTGCCCTCTGGATGTTTACTTGTTTTATTATTTTATTTATAGCTATTATTGATTATTATTATTCTCCAAGGAGCTCAAGGTGGCATACAAGCTTCTCCCCCTCTCCATTTTAGTCTCACAACAGCCTTGTGAGGCAGATTCAGCTGAGAGATAGTGACTGGCCCAAAGTGACCCCATGGGCTCCATGTGGCTGAGAATCCTCATGTCCTAGTCCACCTACAACTCCCATCAGCTTCACCCAGCATGGCCGATGATAAGGGATGATGGGAGTTGTAATCCAACAGATTTGGAGGGCATCCAGTTGGGGAAGGCCAGCCTAGAACGGTTACCACCATTTTGCACCATTATTTAAGGGGAGGGAGTTAGTTCAGCAAAGGCCTTCTCCTTCCGGCCTTCCAAATTGTCCCTGAAGCTAGGGCTCCGATCCAGAGACTTAGATATGCTAGTAAAGCTCTTCTGCAAACAATGGGGGCAGGGGGAGCTAGTTGCAACTGACCGAAAAATCCAAGCCCACCCCTTGCTCCAGGTTGGATTGAGTAGAGGTGTCCCTTTGCTCAGCTTTGCAGGAGGAAGCAGACTCTCACTGGTTACTGCTAATGGAGAAGCACAAGCATCTCTGTCAGAATCAATCTCCTACTTCCACCTTCCAAACAGACAGGTGGTAGCGCTCTGGCAATATCCCTGCCAGCAGAAAGTCCTGAAATGGGACATTCTGAGAATGGAGAAGAGGTGGTGTTGAGCTGGCCCAAGATCCACTGGCATCAGGCCTGATCCAGACCCAGTGGTTGCAGCAGCCTGGAGTTGGTGCAGAGATCAGGCCAGGTCCTTCCCTTCTGCCATAGCCACCGTGAAAGGCTGGGCTACAGATGCAGAAATGCCATCACTGTCAGGGGTGAGGGTTTGACCTGCACCCAAGTCTTCAATCCTACGCACACTTACCTGAGAATAAGTTTGATTTAAATGATAAGACTATCTTCCATGTAAGCATGCATATAATTGCGTGGTAGCTTAAGTCCTGTTGATTTCAAAGAAATATAGGAGTAGCTTTGTATGGACTGGGGCCCTGGTATTTAAAATTTACTGCACAATATGGCAGAACATGTAAGAATTGCCCCTCATTTCAAAGGAATTATAGCTTAGCAGCTACTAGTAACGGCTGCTTGCTTTTGAATTTTTAAGGTGCTTTTCAGTATTTCTATTTCCACAAAGAGCCATTTGAATAAATTTCTTGCCATTATTTCTTTCTGAATTAGTTTTCATTACTCTGCCAGTGCTGTGCTCACAGTTGTTCAAGCTCCTTCTGCTCCATCCCCCTAAAAAAAACCTGTTCACAATGTTAATACATAATTTGTCTGACTTAAACAAAATGCTATTCCCTGGCCTGCTAAAACCACAAATGATATATTTATCCAAATCCTATCTGCTTACTTTAAAGATGTGCCTAATCTTGTTATTTCTCCAATGTAATAAAGTGAAATATAAGCCATGGAGAGACTGTTTGCCCTAACCACACTAGACAAGCTGAAAAAAGCCTGGTTATGTCACTTCTCCTTATATTGGGAGCTGTCCACTTTAAGCAGTAATTTGACAACTAGTCAAAGGCTATTTATGCACATCTTTGGTTTCTAATTTCGATAGACTCAAACATCAGCCACCAACAGGCTAACCACAACTGTATTTGTACAAGAACCCCAAGTAGGGACCATATTTGAGCGATAAGCACAATCCTTACCACCTTCAGCACTTCGGGCTGCCAGGCTCAACCAAGCACTGCATTAGGTAAGATGAACCAACCATCTGAGTACGGCAGCCTCATATATTCAGTTTATATGAAGGTATGCTAAATATGATAAATCACACCATCATTCCCTAGGAAGATACCGTCACCAGCTTTGAAACAAGGCACTAAGTCTACAGAGAAGAGGTCATAATTCATATTTGTGTTGTTGATGCGATGGTCTGGACTGGAATATCATTTCTCTCTCCCCCCACCCTTCCACTTTCCAGTCAGATAAACTGGGAGTCCCAACCTGGGGCTTCACAGCACTGGTGCACATTCCTATACCTGCCTAAAAGGTAAAGGGGCCCCTGACCATTAGGTCCAGTCGTGGCCGACTCTGGGGTTGCGGCGCTCATCTCGCTTTACTGGCCAAGGGAGCCGGGGTACAGCTTCCGGGTCATGTGGCCAGCATGACTAAGCCGCTTCTGGCGAACCAGAGCAGCGCACGGAAACGCCGTTTAGCTTCTCGTCAGAGCGGTACCTATTTATCTACTTGCACTTTGACGTGCTTTCAAACTGCTAGGTTGGCAGGAGGAGGGATCAAGCAACGGGAGCTCACCCCGTTGTGGGGATTTGAACCACTGACCTTCTGATCGGCAAGTCCTAGGCTCTGTGGTTTAACCCACAGCGCCTGCCTACTCAGAAGTAAATCCTACTGAGTACAGCGGCGCTCGCTTCCAGGCAAACTGGTACAGCGTTGCAGCCCAATACTTTTTTGAGCCCGTGATGCAAAACGGCCAAGTGCCCCCTCACTTGACAGGGAGGGGAGGGGACAACATACATGTATTTATTTATTTATGGTGCACTTCAGAACGAAAGGCGGCTTTCCTCGGCATCTTTCCCCTGCCTGGGGTGCGCACGAGGGAGAGAAGCGTGCGCAGTTCCTCTTCCCCTCAGTAGTATAGCCCGCAATTTCTCTCCCGTGCTTTCCCCCACACGCGGGGACACCCCCTTCAGGAACACCACAAGCGCGCAGAATTCACCTACCCCTGAACAGCCGCGGAAGCATGTCAACAAGGCTCCTGGGCGCCGCCATCTTGGACTGACGTGTTGGGTCACGTGGACGCGGAGAGCAAATATTCCCCCCCCCCCCCGCTTCGCTTTTAAAGGTCAGGCGTCGACCTGGCCAGGAGGGTCAAAGGCGCGCGCGCGGGCGGAGGTGGAACCCTCGGAACCTCCTCTGCGGGGCGCGTGCGCACCTCTGCTCCTGTAGCTCAGCGGCAAAGGCGGGTCGCAGGTAGGTTTCAGCAAAGGTGTAGCCTTGCCACCTGTCCTGTTAATAATACCCCGTGTTTCAATGCAACCTCCTGCAGTTTTGTCCTGTATTTCAGCCCATTCCCCTGCCTAATCCTCTCCAAATGCATCATGCGTTCATGGGCATAGCCAAGATGGGGGGCGGGGGGCAGATTCCCCCCCCCCAAATCAGGAAAAATCAATACAAATGTGAGATTCTGCCCTTCCCTTAAAAAAGCTTGCCCCCACTAAAAAAAAATCCTGGCTACGCCCATGCATGTGTGTGAAAGATCATGCATTTAAGCTCTGGGTAGCCAAGCTCAGACAGATTTACAAATTCATGTGTGCCTGTGTGACAAATTCCAGAGGGGCTGTCCTGTTCGGCTGCAATAGATTGCAATGGATTCCTTTGAAAGACACTTCAACAAAAGATTAAAAAAAAAAATCGTGCCCCAACTCATCCTGTCCTGTATTTTCCCAGAACAAAGGTGGCAACACTAGTATAAAAGTAGCTTGGCGCCCATGTGAACAAATGAAAATTGCAGAACTCTTGGAGTCAACCACAGAATTGTTTTATATGCCCTGCAAAAATCTGTTCTATAGAATTGTAGATTTGGAATTGTAAGGTTGTTGGAATCGCAGAGAGGGTGACCGCAGTGCCTGGAGACAATCAGGTTGTGTATTCGTAGCAGTGACCAGAGGAGGAATGACTGTTGGAGGAGCAACACCACAACATCAACACAGAGAGAAGAAACACCATGGTGCAACTGTAGCCGGTGCCGTTTTTCTAGAAAAAGGGGTGCTTGAACTCACCATAAGCGCCTCCCTTGTTCTCTTATAATGGCAATGGCACCCACCTGAGAGGTGCCGGAACTGAGTTCTAGCGAGTTCTGACTGGGGGGGGGGGGGAGCCTTGCCTGTAGCAGCAAAACTGGACACTTTCATCTGCCCCAGCTGCAACAAAACATGACTCTCTGGTATCGGTCTCTACACAGCCACAGCAGGCGCTGCAACTCTCTTAACAGTTTGACTTTTCCCATGAAGGCAAATCCTAAGACAAATGAATACCAGCAAAAGTTGGAAGGGATCATGAGGGTCATTCTAGGCCAACTCCCTGCAACGCATAATTTTTTTGCCCAGTGTAGATCTCGAACCCATGGCTCTGAGATTAAGAGTCTCATGCTCCACCGACTGAGATATGGTGAATGCCCATTTCTTTGCCATTTCTTTAAAAAAAATATTGTAAGGTAAAGGTAAAGGGACCCCTGATCATTAGGTCCAATCGTGACCAACTCTGGGGTTGCGGCGCTCATCTCGCTTTATTGACCGAGGGAGCCGGTGTACAGCTTCCGGGTCATGTGGCTAGCATGACTAAGCCGCTTCTGGCGAACCAGAGCAGCGCACGGAAACGGCATTGACCTTCCCGCAGGAGCAGTACCTATTTATCTACTTGCACTTTAACGTGCTTTCGAACTGCTAGATTGGCAGGAGCAGAGACCGAGCAATGGGAGCTCACCCCGTTGTGGGGATTCGAACCGCCAACCTTCTGATCGGCAAGTCTTAGGTTCTGTGGTTTAACCCACAGTGCCACCTGGTCCCCCTTAAAAAAAATACTGAAGTTATAGCTAATTCCTGCATGCAGGTGGGGATTTCCAGATCGTTGCATTAATTGGCAAAGAGAAGAAAGATCGGGTAACGAGTGATGCTTGTCTCAGAGACTTTTGATAGAACAGAATCCTATGGCTTAATAGAGTAATCTCCCCACTTTTTTGTTGTTTTGAAACATCCTTTACTTGATGTTCTAGGTACTTGGCTTCTCGGGGAAAATAGAAGGAGAACGACTTTCTTGAGGAAGGTTGAGTGTGATTTTGCAGAAAGATAAAATGAAACCTTGCCCCCCCTGGTTTTGCAAGCAGAGATGTGTAAGTTCTCACATTTCTTAATGGCTCCATTGTGGCTGCTTGGCAGGAATCAATTTTCGACAATTATAATGCAGTCGTCTTCGTACCCAAATCAGAACACACTGCAGCTGCCGCTCTAGATGAGCTTTTCTTTGGCACACGCTCGCACGCCCCAAATCAGACTCATTGTTCCAGTTCAGGGGCACAAAAGTGAAAGTCTAAGCATATTTAAGTGAAAGGGGGGTGGGGAGAGGAGCCTAATTGAAGTCAGTGTGACTCACTTAGTAAAGTAGAAAACATCAGTTCTGATCATGCTGCGAAATATTTTACCACTGGCTCACAGCTTGTGTCCCATTTCATATTTCGTGTGCAGTCGGTTGGAGGCTGCATGCGCCTACATTGTTTGGTTCAGTTTATTAAGTTACTGAATTAGACTGGGTAGTTTCTAGGAAGGAAAGGTCTTCAAGTCAGGGATTCTGTCATGGAATCCCAACAAACGTGCACCGGTCCCTCAATTCAAGAGAACCTCTCCTATTGGTGAGCAGCGTTAGAAATTAGCCAGGTGCTAGGTGCATTTTGCTACTGGTGCAGGTTCATTTGCAACCACGTGGAGATTTCTGGATGCCAGAAGGGAGGCTGACATCTCCATCTGGCTGGCCACTCCAGCTGTCTTAAGCAGGTAAGCAGAAGAGCTTATTTATTGCATTTATATCCCACCCTTTTCTCCAAGGATTAATTTATTGCATTTATATCCCACCCTTTTCTCCAAGGAGTACATGATTCACCCCTCTCCTCAATTAAGCCCTACAACAGGCATCCCCAAACTCGGCCCTCCAGCTGTTTTGTGACTACAACTCCCATCATCCATAACTACCAGGACCAGTGGTCAGGGATGATGGGAATTGTAGTCCCCAAATAGCTAGACAGCCGAGTTTGGGGATGCCTGCCCTACAGTGACCCTGTGAGGACGTTAAGTGGCTGTGACTGGCTCAAGGTCACCCAGTGATCTTCATGACTGAGTGAGGATTTGAACCCTGATCTCCCAGGTCTGAGTCCCACAGTCTATCACTACACTACCCTGGCTTCCTAGAATATTTCTGCTATGGGGCAGCTATACAGTGGTACCTCGGGTTACAGACGCTTCAGGTTACAGACGCTTTAGGTTACAGACTCCGCTAACCCAGAAATAGTACCTCGGGTTAAGAACTTTGCTTCAGGAGGAGAACAGAAATTGCATGCCAGCAGTGCGGCGACAGCTGGAGGCCCCATTAGCTAAAGTGGTACCTCAGGTCAAGAACAGTTTCAGGTTAAGAACGGACCTCCAGAATGAAATTAAGTTCTTAACCCGAGGTACCACTGTATAAATTAAGTAGGGAATAAATAAATATAGGGGAAAGCGAAATGCCACTTAGAGAAAGATCTGAAATATTTTCCTTGAAGCTTGAATTTGTTTTATTCTGGATTGTTTTATTTGATTTTTTAATGTGTTGCAAACCATTTTGAAATTTTTATTCCTTCAAAATATAAAGTGGCAGAGAAATGAAATGAACAGCAACAACAATCAATTTCCACGGGGGGGGGGGAGGCGCCTAAGCATTCCACTGTGGCGACTGTAACCTAGGTTTAAGGTGCCATTTGGCAGTTACCATATTTTTCGCTCTATAGGATGCAGCGGACCATAGGAGGGGGAGAACGGGGGGGGGGAATTCTCCCCCTCTCTGCTCAGCGCCCCTTCAGCGAAGCGGCAGGAGAAACAGAGCCCCTTCCATTTCTCCTCCCGCTTCACTGAAGGGGCGCTGCGCAGAGAGGGAACTCCTGCTGCGCTCCAAAGGCTTGCGGATAGCTGCCTGAAGCCCCCGGAGTGCAGCAGGAGTTCCCTGCGCTCCGGGGGCTTCAGGCGGCTTCAGTGAAAGCAACGTGAAGCCTCCGGAGCGTGGGGGGAGCTTTCCCACTGCGCTTTGGAGACTTCGTGTTGCTATCGCTGAAGCCAAGGAACCGGCATTTGCTCCATAAGACGCACACACGTTTCCCCTTAATTTTTGAAGGGGAAAAAGTGCATCTTATAGAGCAAAAACTATGGTAGTTTATGTATCTAAGTTTCCAACACCGTTGGTGAGGGAATGGCTGTCTGCACAGAGGAAACACTTCTGGCTTTCATTGTGTGAGATGCTTTGAATTGCTTTTAAGTAAAGCAAAGCAAAGCAGATGCTAAGGGTGGGGAAACGTTGGAGGAAAAAAGATATATGTGGGTTGCCATGCACTCCTTATGCAAGTCTGGAGAACCCTGTCTCATCCTTATTTGCTGAACTTACCATTTTGGTCAGGTTCTTTGTATGGAAGGGGCAGAGTGCCATGGACCTCCCTTTATTTTAGTCAAGTGGAACTAGTGGTATTCAATAGCTCAGTTGGTTAGAGCGTGGTGCTGATAACACCAAGGTTGCAGGATCGATCCTTGTATGGGACAACTGCATATTTCTGCATTGTACCTACAGGACCACCTCTCCCAGTATGCCCCACGGAGAGCCTCAAGGTCCATAAATAGCAACACCCTAGTGGTCCCGGGCCCTAAGGAAGTTAGATTAGCTTCAACCAGAGCCAGGGCCTTTTCAACACTGGCTCCGGCCTGGTGGAACACTCTGCCTCATGAGACCAGGGCCCTGCAGGATCCGATTTCTTTCCGCAGGGCCTGTAAGACAGAGTTGTTCTGCCTGGCCTTTGGCTTGGAGCCAGTTTGATTCCCTCCCCCTGTTTCTTTTCTTTTCCTTTCTCCTCCTGTGATGAGGCTGCATTTTAATATTTTAATGTTTCACTATTTTAATTGTTGTATTTTAATCTTGTTTTTAAGTTGTATTCATTCTACTTGTTTTTATTATTGCTTGTTAGGCACCCTGAGTCCGCCTTGACTGGGGAGGGCAGGGTATAAATAAAAATTATTATTATTATTATTATTATTATTGCAGGAGGTTGGACTAGACGATCCTCAGGGTCCCTTCCAACTCTGCAATTCTATGATTTCTAATATCATCTTCCACTGTTTCTTCAAGAGTATTTCACTTCTCATTCATGCACCCCTTCTGCTTTTTAAACATACTGCCCCACCTTTTTCTTTTCACTTAGTCAATACATTTTAGTTTTGATTGCCCCCTCCACCTCCGTGAAAAATGCTTAATAATCAGAGTTCCCCTCCCCCCCAAAAAAGCAACTGCCCACTGGGTGGGGAGTTTAAAAACTAGACATTTGCTTATTGCAATGTGCTTGGAACAAAAGTGGCAGATGCTGAATCTCCACCCCCTCCCTCCCTTTCCATTGAACCAGATTTCATTTATGTTTGCTCTAATCTACTCTAACGGTGCAGAGCAGACTTAACCAGAGCACATTCTTCGTATTTGAGGCACGTTAACTGCATTACGTTTCCCCTGATCACCAGCAGAAGAAAAGATCCAGCTGCTGCGGGAACAGACAGCCCACAGCCCTGCTCTCTTTGCTGTCACCCAGACTTTCTCTCTGTCTTCTCTCCTGTCCCCGGACCCCCCTGCGCACTCCCACCCCAAGACAATGGGCAGAGTACACGTAGGAAATAGTGTCAAGGCCCCAGGCCTCTGTCACTGGATAATTGATTCCATTAAAAAAGATGATCTTCACTGGAACTGGATGCAAATCAATTGTCCCGCTTCCCAAAGAAAAAAACCAACCTTCCCAGTAGTTTGTAATACAGTGGTACCTCTGGTTATGTACTTAATTCATTCCAGAGGTCCGTTCTTAACCTAAAACTGTTCTTAACCTGAAGCACCACTTTAGCTAATGGGGCCTCCCCCCGCCGCCACGCGATTTCTGTTCTCATCCTGAAGCAAAGTTCTTAACCCGAGGTACTATTTCTGGGTTAGCGGAGTCTGTAACCTGAAGCGTATGTAAACCGAGGTACCACTGTATTTCAAAAATGTGCAAAAGCTTCATTGCAGTTGGGTAGAGCTGTAGCTGCTTAGAACATATGCATGCAGAAATATGCGAAATAACTCAGCAAGTATTAGAAGTCACCCCAGAACTGGCCCTACTAAACATCTTCCAAGATAATAATGCCCACTCACATCACAAGGAGCTTATAACCCACCTATTCTCAGCAGCCAGAAACATCATAGCCAGACACTGGAGAGACCTGTCAGGAGTAAGCACGGACCAATGGTATTAGATAGTATGGAAAACAGCCTTATTAGAAAAACTAACCAATAAACTGAAACTGACATGGGGACAAATAGAAGAAGATGGCCCCCTTTTATCACATACACAGCCCAACAAGACGACAAGAATCTGCCGACAGCATACGAATCTGACTAACCTGATTCAAAAATACACACACACCGCTCACGAAAACAAATTTCACTACAGCCAACCAAAGACAACCAAGCACACCCTAAGCCACCCCAACCTCTCTTACCACCAAGGAAATACAACAAGTGAATTGTAAGAAAACCCATACAAGTAACGCTGACATCATCATCATCATCATCTATTATTTATACCCCACCCATCTGGCTGGGTTTCCCCAGCCACTCTGGGCAGCTTCCAACAAAGTATTAAAATACAGTAGTCTGTTAAACATTAAAAGCTTCCCTAAACAGGGCTGCCTTCAGATGTCTTCTAAAAGTCTGCTAGTTGTTCTTCTCTTTGACATCTGGTGGGAAGGCATTCTACAGGGTGGGTGCCACTACCGAGAAGGCCCTCTGCCCGGTTCCCTGTAACTTGGCTTCTCGCAGTGAGGGAATCACCAGAAGGCCCTCGGTGCTGGACCTCAGTGTCTGGGCAGAACGATGGGGGTGGAGACGCTTCTTCAAGTATACTGGACCGAGGCCGTTTAGGGCTTTAAAGGTCAGCACCAACACTTTGAATTGTGCTCAGAAACGTGCTGGGAGCCCAAAACCCCACACATACACTAAGTAGAAGAATAGAAGCATAACCACCCGAACACACCCCACTTACCATTCCCTCCTTTCGCTCTCTTTTCTTTCTAACCCAGGCATGTCCAA